CGCTCATGACATCATTGAGGTGCTCAAGCTCCAGCGCCCCGACAAGGCGGTGATCCTTTGCTGGAGATGTCTGGATTAGAGCCTCCTAATATTGATGGGCCCTTTCATATTAAAGTTCAACCAAGGTTACGGACTGTCTTTGCAGAACTGCACTTCTCCTTAGACTATGGCAGCTCAATCTGCTTTGAGTACAATCTCAAGAATAGCTTTCTCTGTCCCCAACCCTGGAGAGAACTATCAGTTACAAACACAAAAGTTAGAAATGGCTTCCTATTGATCTTCAGTAGCTGGAGTAACTAGGAAAAGAAATAAGATGAGATGCATCCTCAGTCTGATCAGGAACTTCAGATGCCACTGTCTTCCCTTCTGGCTTCTGTTTTCTTGAATCAAAAGCTTTCCGTTCAGTTCAAAGCAACAAACACTGCCTCTTCCTTCCAGCTCCTTGCTGATATTTCCTTGGGTCTTTGTTTGGTGCTGTGTGTTATCCAGCTTATTATCATTCCTACAGAAACTGTTCACCATAGTACAATTATTTATTTATTTATTTATTTAAAGGTTTTATATACCGGCCTTCTCACCTCTCTTGAGGGACTCAGACCGGTTTCCAACCATAATATCACATACAATCAATAAAACATCATAATTCATATTACAGTAAAACATTAAAACAGCAATTACAATCAATAACTACAATGGTCAGTCGTCAGACTAAAATCGTTGCTCATCCTCCTCCATCCATATCTCAGGGTGTTGACTCACTCATCGAATGTCTCCATAGCCAAGTCTTCACCTGTTTCCTAATTGTCAGGATAGAAGGGGCGGTTCTGATCTCTAGTGGGAGAGAGTTCCAGAGTCGAGGGGCCACCACCAAGAAGGCCCTGTCCCTCATCCCCACCAGACGCGCTTGCGAGGCCGGTGGGACCGAGAGCAGGGCCTCTCCAGACGATCTTAATAATCTATTACTTTAATTCATCAAAGTAATAATGATAATACAGGTTCTAATTCAAAGTGAAAGGGGAGTTAAAGTTGCTTCTCAATAGCTGAACTGGACTATTTCCCAAACCAAGACACAAAGAATAATCTAGTTTCTTAAAACTTCGCCTTTTCTTATTTGGTGAACTTACTTCTCTAAACAACCAATCTAGCTATTCAGTGGAGAATATTTTAAGTTCATATTTGAATTACTTAAAAAGTACAAATGGGTAATTACTTGGGATGTGTAATTGATTAAAAATGTTTCAAAAATATTTACAAAGTGGAGGTGGGTGGATGTCGCTGGTGATTTTGTTACTCTTTTGTTATAGCAATTGCGCATAATTAAATTACCATAATTGGGGAAACTTCATGGGCTCCTTTCTCCCTCATTTTTACAGCTATTGGGGTAAAATTTGCTACAATGGTAGAACACATTCATCATTGTTAGCACACCAAATTTCAGAATTTTTCACTTCTCCACAGATTTGTGGCAAATTTTCAAGGCTTTTCTAAGCAACATTTTTAATAAGAAAAAAATAGCGAATCATGAAGAATAGTTCCATAACACAAAATAATTTAAATACCATGGTTCATTATATATTTTATATAGACTTAATTAAATCAATTTAATGTTTGCTTCTCATAGATTTAGCATGGGGGATTTGGTTAACCAATTAAGTCATGAGTAAACCAGGTTTTTTTAAACCTGAAAAATTTGAACCCCTACATCACTCTATGGTGTCACCAAACATCTTGTCATGTTGAGTTAAGCATAATGCCTGACACTGTAGAGATGAAAGTTGCTTTCTGCATTTGGAGCAGTTCCCTTTTTGGACCATTAAAACTGGGAGATTTTGAGAGCTGATGTCTTCATGGTTGGGGAGAACTTCCCCAACCTCAACCCCATCAGGCTATTTATCCATGCAAGAATGAAACTGGACTGTGAAAGAGAGGCACACGAATAAATGCATGCATATCTTTGTCTGGGTATTCACATGAATGTTCCTGGGCAAAATGACAAACGGCTAGCTGAAGGAATGCATGACTATATAAATATAGTCTATCTACATCAATATATAGCTGTAGCCTTACCTTTGGTGGTTTAAATGGATAATCGGATGAAAATGTAATATCCAGGAAAAAGACGCCACCTTCGTATACAGAACCTGGAGGACCAAGGATAGTAGATCTCCATTCATAAATGTTATCACCTTTAGGCCCAGCACTATTGAAGTAAGAGAAAGGAGGAGACAGAAAGTGAGACAGATGGCTTTGTGAGGGTTTACAACATTAATTCCTAATTTGTTTCTCAGTTCTGCTGCTTATATGCAGGTTGGTGTTTTTGTATGTGCCTGCTTGGAGCAAAAACAAGGCACATGAACTCTGTTCCTGCCAACCTTTTCAACACAAGGACTAACTTTATCTTTTGTAGACTTTTCTAGGTTGGTCTTTCCTGTGGTATGAGGAATACAACAAAGAAAGAAGAATAAAATGCTTCAGTTGGAAGGCAGAGTTAAGAATACTTCAGAAGGCTATTCCTCATCCCATCACACATACATCCTACTAGATTTTCAAGAAGCAATGTATGTGGGGTTACTCTAAGAGGTCCTCACAAGCCTATGAAAATATGAGAAAAGTGTCTCTTTTTTTGGCCTACAGTTCCTAGAATCCCTCTGCCCACATTAATAGTGGCCACTAAGTGGACTTCATATTGGAATAAAGAGGTGAACCATATATTTTTGCAAATTGAGATAAATTCTTTCAAAAACTGAAGTGAAATGAAATTCCTACTCCTGGGAATTGGCCAAATTCAACAGGTACTGTGAGACTGGTGATAATGACGGAGTGACTTTTCAGAACAGAGGTGCCAATCCTCATTCAGACCTAACATGGTTAAACATACAGAGATTCAATACAGATTTTACTGAGTAAAACACTCAAAGCCAAGGACCTAGATGGATACATATGTCTCTTTTGGTTTCTCTTGCTTACACACATATTATAAACACACTGACATCTGCACACATTTTCATTGCAAGTATGGGGGAATTTGCAAATCTGGGTTACTATGTTTAAAAATGAATTGACATGAAAAAATAACCCACCACTAAACTCAGTTTAGACATTCCCAATCACACCCCAAAGCTTTATCCACCAAGTCTGTGGTTCGAACATTTCCCTTGCAATATCAGTTTGAGTAAGTAATCTTTGGGGGGCTACAACTCCCAGAATTCGCCTAGCCAGTGTGAGTCAAGGTCATGTTGGCTGGGGGATTCTGGGAGCAATGGTCCAAAAAAGTAATCTCCCTAGGTTTTAGGAATTGAGACATACTGAACATAATGAAATACAGTTCTAAGGCATGTATGCTCAGCTGCTGAGAGGCTGAGCATACATGCCTTAGGGCGCACAGTTGAATGTACAGCACAACCACTACATCCTGATGTTAATTCTGTCTATGGAACACAACATTTACTCTGGAACTTCCTGGAAGCGATGGAATGATCCTACAATTGTGGAGGTATGGACAGGGTTGGATCTGCTCCTATCCACTGTCTTCACCACCAACAGATTCACCACTCTACTCCTCAGATCCCCCAGGCAGGAATCAGCCAGACTTTGAAGCTGCAAAGCCATTAAATGCTAATCAAGTTGGCAAATTGTAACATTCACACTTGCCTCCAGCAGACAAAAGTTCTTTCTCCCACCTTAGACATTCCACAGATATATAAACTCCACTTGCCTAGTTTCCAACAGACACCACAACCTCTGAGGGTGCCTGCCATAGATGTGGGTGAAACGCTTGGAGAGAATGCTTCTGGAACATGGCCATACAGCCCGGAAAACTCACAACAATCCAGTGTTTCCGGTCATGAAAGCCTTCGACAACATAATCCATTATTGCTTGAACATCATCAAAATTAGTCAACAGACTCAAGAGTGAGGGATTGTGTGAGTTATCAATAGACTGGAAAATAATTCAGTCACCTTTCCATTGCAATATTTCTTTGCCTTTGCCTTCTTCTGAAGTAGAGAGAATGTGACTTGACCAAGACAGGTGTCCATGGCGGTACAAGGATTCAAACCCTGATATTCCAAAGTTATTCCAAAGATATTGCAAAGATACAGAATGGGGTACGCCTGGCTTGACAGTAGTATGTGTGAAAAAGATCTTGGAGTCCTCATGGATAGGAAACTGAACATGAGCCAGGAATGTAATGTGGTGGCAAAAAAGCCAATGGGATTTTGAACTACATCAATAGGAGTACAGTGTCTAGATCCAAGGAAGCCCTGATACCTCTGTATTCTGCCTTGGTCAGACCACACATGGAATCACACTTTGTTCAATTCTGGGCAAGTTGTCAAGTTGGAGGAGGGCGACTAAAATGATCAAGGATCTAGAGAACAAGCCCTATGAGGAGCGGCTTAAAGAGCTAGGCATGTTTAGCCTGCAGAGAAGGCTGGAAGGGAGACACGATGAGGCCATGATAAATATGTGAGAGGAAGTCATAGGGAGGAGGGAGCAAACTTGTTTTCTGCTGCCCTGGAGACTAGGACGTGGAACAATGGCTTCAAACTACAAGAAAGGAGATTCCATCTGAACATGAGGAAGAACTTCCTGACTGTGAGAGCTGTTCAGCAGTGGAACTCTCTACCCCAGAGTGTGGTGGAGGCTCCTTCTTTGGAGGCTTTTAAACAGAGGCTGGATGGCCCTCTGGGGGGTGCTTTGAATGCGATTTTCCTGCTTCTTGGAAGAATGGGGTTGGACTGGATGGCCCATGAGGTCTCTTCCAACTCTATAATTCATAGTTCAATGCTCAAATCACTACATCATGATGGCTCCATGTATATGTGTTGACACATACATATAGCATAGACCTATGGGAGATTGTGAGGCCCAAGTGTCAGTATTATATAGTGGGCCATTTTTATACATTTGAAGTGTTATTCATTTATTATCTCTCTCCTTTCTCTTTTTAATGGATGGATTTTACAACAAAGCAGCATCAATGATACTGCCATTAAATAAAATTCCTTCTCCCCTTGAAAACCAGCTGACAGAAGAATTATCGCTTTATAAATGTGGCTGCTAAGAAAGCAATAAATATACTTATAGGTCAACACTGTAAGATAATGTCTGCATTTGTAAATCTATGAGAGGGGAGTCTGTTATTTTCCTCTTCTTTAAAAAAACTTCCTATTAAAGAAACCACTTCTGACAGACTTATCTCACCTCCAAGCAAACAGCAACCATTTCATTTTGGGATATAGCCTTTAAAGGAACATTTATCACAGATTTTATACAGAAACATCAAGACAGCCTTAAGAAACTCTCTGTTTGCATATATTTTATTATGATTTTCAGCAGCAACAAGAAGAAAGCTGTTTTACAGCTGCAGAATTTAAGCAGCTCAATTCCGGGAGGACTTTCAAGTATGCTAAAAAGGGCCTCTTATCAAATTGACAGCGAAAATGGAGACAAAGAAATCTGGAATAGCAAAAAAAAAGGAAGAGAGATAAATATCTTTCTTGAAAGTGGAGTGAGATGCATCTCCAAGCCTTAGCTTCATGGGCTTGTTTAGACCTCCCTTAATCTCACTTGGGGATGTAAGTGGGGAAAGAGTGAGGCACAAATCTCATGCAAGAGACTTTCGGAACATGTTGTTCCACAGACATTCAACAGGTGCCCTTGGTGGTCCCTCCCATAACACAACGTTAAGGCTATAAAAGCTCAAATACATCTGGTAATATTGCAAACACAAGCTTTTTAAATCTGCGTTCCATTTACAAATAAACATTAGTGAGAAAAGACAAGAGAGCACTGGGCCAAAGTCGTTTACAAGGACCTCACAAGTCATTATCTTCAATTATTTGCCAAGTGATGTAAAAACGGCACAAGATTTTTAAAATTTAAAACCCTTGGGTTTCATCCCTGGACTGCACAGGTTTCCAGTTCTCAATGAGTAGCTAGATTAGCTTTTTTTTCCATGTCAGGAGCAACTTGAGAAACTGCAAGTCTTCTGGTGTGAGAGAATTGGCTGTCTGCAAGGATGTTGTCCAGGGGATGCCCGGATGTTTTGATGTTTTACCATCCTTGTGGGAGGCTTCTCTCATGTCCCTGCATGGGGAGCTGGAGCTGACAGAGGGAGCTCATCTGCGCTCTCCCCAGATTCAAACCTCTGACCAACATTATTTATTTGAATCATGTTGAAGATGGAAAGAAATATTTAAGAAACTGAGTGTAGAAGCTTTTTTTCATGTTAGGAGCGACTTGAGAAACTGCAAGTCACTTCTGGTGTGAGAGAATTGGACTTCTGCAAGGATGTTGCCCTGGGAACGCCTAGATGTTTTTGATGTTTCACCATCCTTGTGGGAGGCTTCTCTCATGTCCTCACATGGGGAGCTGGTGCTGACAGAGGGAGCTCATCCACACTCTCCCTGAATTTGAACCTGCGACCTGTCGGTCTTCAGTCCTGCTGGCACACGGGTTTAACCCCTGCTCCACTGGGGGTTCCTAGCTAGACTAGCTAGGATTAGAGTGAGGGATTCCTCCCCCCACATTCCTATGCATGCATATCCAAGAAGGGGCTTTGTCTTTACACTTTTTGCTTGCCACTATCTTTTCCCCCTTTGAAGATGACGCAATGGACTCTCTGTGAGGTATGAGGTACTTCCTCTTTAAAGGTATTTTTATTGCCCTGGGGTTTGGCCATGTGGTCATTCTCCATTGCCCTTTCTCTCTACATTTGTCTTCCTTCCACTGAGGACGCATTTTGCCATTCTTCAGGCAAAATGTACCTGCATGGATACTTTTGATATTTTATCCTTTTTACCTTCTCTAGAAGACAAGCTTAGTAAGCTAGTTAGCTCCAAGACCCTTTTCTATCTAAAATGGATTTAATTTTACTTCAATAAATGTTCTGAACCTAAACTTGTGACTCTGCAATCCTGTGCCATCTTGTTGAATGGAAGCTAATCCTGACTCACCACACATAAGTTTTTGCTGGTTACGAAGTGTGCTTCTGGCACTCTGCTATATTTTTGGTGGAATCATCCCAAGTGAGGGCTATTTTTGAGCCTAACAGCTCTGATTCCCAACAAAAGCGATCACACAAACATTCGAAACAAGGTAGAAAATAATTCAAACTCCTGGGTAGACCATTGGGTGTTCTGATTAACATCCATTACGTACATGTCACTTAATTAGCATTAGGGCTTAAACGTCAA